AATCCCAGAATAAAAAAAAATAAAAGAAAAAAAGGAGAGGCTGGGAGCTTATGTTGCCAAGGTGCTTGGCCAGCCTGAAAACAGCCCTCAGCCCCTCACCTAGACTGGCCTGGCACCCCAGTGGAGACCCCCAACCCTAAAGAGGGTGTGGCCAGCCTGAAAACAGCCATTAGCCCCTCACCCAGGCTGGCCAAACTTCATGGGGTGAGGGTCCCCACTGGGGTAGACATCCTCCGAGGGGTCAAACACTGCAAGAGGGCATAGGCCAGGCTGAGGGACCGCCCGAGTGCACAAATTTTTGTGCACCGGCCCTCGAGTTAAAGATAAGTAAATTGAAATTAAAAAAAAGATTTACCTATTTGAATCATGGGGGAGCACACATGACCACAGCCTTCCCTGATGCACTGTTCTCCTTGCCCACAGTCCCTGCCTGTTCTGCATTGGTGCTCACAGATGCCTGAGGAGAGGAAAGACTAGTTGAAAGCTTTTAAGTCTTACACTTGAAGAATAAAATTTTAAATGCCTTCACAGTATCATCCAAAAACCCATCAATTACCTAAGTATAAATCTAACAATTTATATTCAGAAAACTACATAATATTACTAAGAAAAAATTTGAAAAGATCTTAATAAGGGAGTCATATACCGTCTTCATGGATTAGAAGATTCACAATCATGAACATATGAGTTTTCCTGAAATTGAATGTAATTCCAATGAAAACCTTAGAAGGATTTTTAAATGAAAATTCAAAAACTAATACTAAAACTTATATGAAAGTCCTAAAAATCAAGAATAATCAAGACAATTTTTCCTGTTTTTTTTTTTCCAGTTACAGTTGACATACAATAGTTTCAGATGTACAACATCGTGATTAGACATTTATATAACTTATAAAGTGTTCACCCTGAATCAAGACAGTCTAGAACAACGTTGGGTGTTGGGGGGCAGGGAAGGAGTGGAAGAAAAAGATGAAATTAGCTAATTTTATTATGACTATTACTCATAGTAGTTCACTTATAATCATCCACCAAAAAAGAAGGGAGCAAAGGTAATACTTAAAGGTGTTAGTATAAGAGAACTATTACAACAAAAATATAAACCTTTCTAAATACAAAACATATAGTAAGAGAGAGAGAAAGGGAGACAGATTACACCACTAAAATAGGTTACACAGTGAAAGATCATCTAGGTAATAAAGAGGAAATAAAACATAACAGTAAAAAGGTATAAAAAGTCACCCAATTAAAAGGAATTCTTATCTTTTAGAGATACATACAGAAATAATCTATAATAATATAAGCATAATATGCTAATTAGACCAGATAATCCTTCCTGGCAACCTTCTGGTCAACCTTCCAGACAAAGCTGGGGCTGTGAGGGAAGTCCGGGTTCCGGGTGTCCGAGGGAAGCCAGTGCCGGCAGCCGGGAGAAGGAAGGCTTACTCTTGCACGAATTTTGTGCATCAGGCCTCTAGTATGTAATAAAATAATGTCTGGAATTTTCTTCAAAATAGCATGAGATGAGGGGAAATGAATGGGATTATAAAAGAAGAATGATTACACATCAACAGTGGTTGAAGCTGGGTGAAGGGTATGTGGTATATCATTATACTATTCTGTCTGCTTTTTATGTGTTTACATTTTCCCACAATAAAAAGTTTAAAACTAAACTATTTATCCTTACAAACAAAGCTCTATTAATTAAACTTGGATTAAAATAGAATGTGTCAAATTTCTCCCAGGTCCTGTAAGGACTGTGCCCCAGAATGTATACCTCAGTGAGAAAGTCCTTGTGAAATAAAAGAGTACATTTCCCAACTCCATGGCCAACATTCCCATTCTGATCTACTCACAATTTCCACACAGCCTGTCCAAACAGCTCGTTCTGCATATATGACTCACACACTGAGATTTGGTTAAATAGTGGTGCTCAACATTTCTAATGCCGCGGCCCTTTAATACAGTTCCTCATGTTGTGGTGACCCCCAACCATAAAATTATTTTCGTTGCTACTTCATAACTGTAATTTTGCTACTGTTATGCATTGCTAATGTAAATATCTGATATGCAGGATATATTTTCTTTGTTACAAATTGAACATAATTAAAGCATAGTGATTAATCAAAAAACAATATTTAATCATATATGTGTTTTCCGATGGTCTTAGGCGACCCCTGTGAAAGGGTCGTTTGACACCCAAAGGGGTTGAGACACCCAGGTTGAGAACCGCTGGATTAAATGATTATTTGGAGGAAGATGCTGGAAATAAGCTATCTTTCTGTGTAAACTGGGCTGGGAGAGCTGATAAGTGCAATAGTGGACTGGTTTTAATTGGTTTATTGGTTCTATGGGAATCATTTTTTGCTTCTCAATTACTTTGCAAGGAGTGGATATGACTTCCAAGAGAATAAGGCTTTCGGTTCATTCGGTCGAAAGGCCCTTTGTAGGATCTGTGATTTTTTTTCTCAAAGTCAAGGGCTAATTGGGGATTAAGAAACAAACTTTGTCCTGATCAGCGTGGCTCAGTGGTTAAGCATCGACCTAGGAACCAGGAGGACACGGTTTCTTTTCCTGGTCAGGGCACATGCCCAGGTTATGAGCTGGATCCCCAGTGCGAGGGTGTGCAGTACGCAGCCAATAGATGATTCTCTCTCATTGTTGATGTTTCTATCTCTCTCTCCCTTTCCCTTCCTATCTAAAGTGAATGAAAATGTATATTTTTTAAAGAAACAAACTTGGAAAGGCATTGCCTCCAGGGATACCTTCCTACACCATCTGTTCACAGACTTCCAGAAGAGCAAAACCAGAGCAAGGGGAGCAGCCCAAGGAAGCAGACCTGATGCATGTGCTACGCCTTGAGTGTGCTCTGGAGCTTGGCACTGCAAGAAGGTAAATAAATAATCACAGAAAAAAGAGCACTTGGAAAAGCCTTTCCCAATACAGGCTTTTACATGACTTCCTTGTCTACAGTATGCATGCACAGATGGTGAGGGAAAAGACTCAGAAGCTACCTGGCCAGGCTGGAGGAAGTCTCAGATTTCTGTGACCCAACTACACACATAGGTACATTTCTGCTGTGTTAGGGAGGTTGGGCCAACTCTACTTCATGGCATAGAATTGGGGAATGATGCATGGTCAGGAAGCCACACATAGACTGTACATGGGAGAGGCAGCCAGCCGAAAGGTGATAAAGATCTTTGGCTGACTGAAAAATGCCTACCAAATATATACATGGCATTCTTCATTTTTAAAAATATAAATATGGGTGGGCAGGGGAATCCGAAGGGTCCTGGGAAAACTTTCCTTTAAAGCTTATAAATCCCATTGCAGATGACGGTGTGGAAAAAGAAAAGACCCAGTCAATGTCCTTCTGCTCCACCTTCCCTGTCCTGGTATTAAATATGAAACATAGATAATACATATGTGTCATTCTATTGAGACTGTAACACCTGACTAGGAGAGCCCTGCCAGTGAACATCTTCCCTCTTTGGGAGAGAAGGTCAGCATGGCACAGGGCAGGGAGCATTTACCTAAAAGCCAAACAGACATGGAGGAGAAGACTGGCTCCTGTACTCATTAAGAGAGTTGGGCTTGGCTGGTTTTGCTCAGTGGTTGAGCATCGACCTATGTGTCAGCAGGTCATGGTTCAATTCCCATAGGGGCACTTGCCCAAGTTGTGGGCTCAGTCCCCAGTGGGGAGCATTTGGGAGGCAACCAATTGATGGTTCTCTCTCATCATTGATGTTTCTATCTCTCTCCCTCACCCCTCCTCTCTCTGAAACCTTTAATAAAAACAAAATTTTTAAAAAGGAGTGTAGAGTTTGGCAGGTCATTTAGCTACTTGGACCGTCTGTCTCTTCATCTGTAAAATTTACAAAAAATTCTGCTACTGATATGATATTATAGAGCTGTGGTGAGTGTGAAAGTGCATGTGCATGGTGAGTGTTAATTATCCTCCCCTAACATATGTCTACAAACTCTGGGTGACCACAGAGTCTGACACGTCTGCATGAATACAGAACCTGTATAGACTTCAGGACTAACTAAAGGGCAGAAACATAAGTGGACGTTGTAGGATGCCATCCTCAAGTATCTTTGCAGGGGAAGGTCATACCTTGGCATTCTGAATGGCAGATAGTAGGGGAAATTATTTGAGAACATGTTATGGGTGTGCTCATGAGCCCCCAGTAATGACCAAGAGAGACAGAAGCATGGTGGGATTTGGGGTGTGGATGACCAGCCAGTAAAAGTAGATATCAAAGCTAATATGCCCTCATCCCAATGCACAGGCTGGTGAGGTCATGGGCCGCCGGGGTTATAAGATGAGCTAGGCGGCAGGGACAGGCAGGCATGGCAGACCATGGCAGAGGCTACGTGGGGCAATCGAGGTGGAAAAGTGAACAGAGAGCGCTGGGAGATGGAGCTTGTAGGGTCAGCCCAGACCATCGCTTTTTTCAGGGCTTCTTTGGGAGACCCAGGCTTATCCTCTGCCTCAGGAAAACTCTGAATCAAAGACTCCACCCACAGAGCCTATGTCCCAACTTATCCTAACTCCTAACCACTTCCCAGTCCATGCCACTCAAAGCCCCACATCCCAAGGGCCAGGGTTGCTCTCATAGTGTTAGGCTTCCAGTCCAGCTACATGTCAGTGTATTGCCTTAGAATAGGGTATCTCCACAGTTGTGTCTGCTCCAACTCCTTCTGAGTCTTGCCCTAATAAAGGCTGCGACTATAGGCCTGTTATGTGCTACAAGGTCATTTTTTTTTTCTTGACCAAAATCATATTCCCAGAATGCTTGAGAAAATATTATCATGCCCTTTGCCCTGTTTAGATACATGGACATGGAAGGAGGAAAGAAACTAGCTGGCAGACCTTGCCTCTGATCCATCCTGAGTGCCTCGTATTCATGGGCTCAGTACAGGGCACACAGTCCGTTCTGTTCATCCACAGAGGGTCCACTAGAAAGAACGTCTAAATGGGAAGAATGACACAGTCTCAATAATGCCACGGGTAAGATTTATTTTGGACAGAAACTCTATAGAATCATCCTCTCCGCCCATTTAGATCTTCATCTTCTGGGACTGCACATCAAGGGATAGACACTTGCCAGGAATGGTGTGTGGAAAATGTTATGCCAAGCACTGGATCCATGCATTCATGAGCAATCTTCTGGGGCTGGTCTCCAGGCATGCTTACACCCCCCATTCTTCCTCCACAGGGTCATCAACAGCATTCTTCTAAAATACAAATTTGATCATGACATTTCCTCTGCTCAGAAACCTCCAGCAGTCTACAAAACTCTTTGGCAAGGCAGCTCATTCCTTTCTGGACCCTGGTTTGGATGATCCTCTACTGAGATGTTGCAACTTCTACTGACCACATTCTCAATCACTTTCCCACCTCCAGCATAGGACCCACATTTCCTCATTATCTGTACTGCCCTTCCTTACTGTGGCAAACTTTATGCCTCCTTTAAGCTCTTCCTTAAATGTTCTCTACTCTCTGACAATCTTCCCAACATCCACTGATCCACCCACCCAGGCAAAACCAATAACTCTTTCCTGTGCTTCCACAGACCTTAGTAGAAATTTGTGCAAAGCTGTGGTCACCCTGGGTTGTAATTATTTACATAGTTCTGTCTCCATGACTAGCTCTGTTTACCTTTTTATCTCAACTTCAGCACAATGCCTGACTGACACAGGAGATACTCCATAACTGGGTTCTCTTTCCTTTCCCTCTGCCTCCCAGGATCACCCATTTTCAAGGAAGAGTGAGGCTCCCTTGGTGGGAAGGGAAAGGGGGGTGACAAACGCTGGGTCAATAATGACCTGTGAATGTAGGATCATGGTTACTTGTCTCAACTGAGTGCCCCCTTGGGGACAGAGACAGGGATAGGGCTTCTCTTCGAGGAGAGAGTCTTAGATAATGCAGCCAGGTGTCCTTCTGCCATTCTCTTCCAGCCTCTTTTTCTTGGAGTTACCCAGATTCTTATATGCAGTGGACACGTGAACATCCATCGGCCCTTGGAAAGTCCACTGGGGAATAGTTAACACCCTTGTCAGCTCTTGACTGATTTATACTCACCACATGGATAGCAGGTTTGCATACGTGGCCACATCCATTGCTGCAGCATTTCATTCCCCTGGGACATGTTTCGTCTCCTAAGCACTTTTCAACACAAAGCCCAATGGCATCTTTGGGCAGCTTGGGGCAGAATCCAGGTCTGTCTCCCCCTGAAACATAAAACAGTGTTTGTGGAGTCTGGAATAGTCACTATCCAGGTATAAAAACTTCTGTTAGTAGTCTACGGGCTCACTGCTGGCAGAACTCCCACCTCTTTCATTTCTTCCTTTGTACTCCTGGACCCATCCCTCATCCTCGGCATCTCCACCCTCGCACAGAAGCCCCCAATGTCACAGTCAGGCCCTTAGGAGAATGTTCTCCCTGCTGCAAAGGCTGCCCAGTTCCGCAAGCAAGAAACCTGCTCTATCATAAGCCTCTTCTTTCCACTTTAGAAGAAGATATTAGAAACATCTCTGATCCCAGACTTCCATCTTCCCACCTCACACATACCCGATGTTCATCCCAGGGCTACTCCGTGTTGGAGCCCTACATCCAAGGCACATGTAGAGAGAGCCCCAACTTTTAATAAGGCCCAACCTGATCTGATAAGAAGAATGGGGCCCTGGCTGGTGTGGCTCAGTTGGTTGGAGCATCGCCCCCAACACTGAAAGTTTTGCAGGTTCAATCCCCACTTGGGGCACGTATGGTAGACAATCGATGTCCTCACTTATCTCATTCTCTCTCTCTCTCTCTCGCAAATCAATAAGCATCTCTTGGGTGAGGATTAAGAAAGAAGAAGAAGAATTGGAAACACAAGGTGATCACTCCTGAAGGTTAAAGAAAGTGGGTCTTATCAATACCAAATCTCCACTCTGCAGCCTGTTCCTGTGCCACACCATCCCAGGGAAGAAGCTGGGCTCTGAGCCTCCTCTGCTCTCAGGTAGGACTCCCTTAGCGCCCTTACCTCCATTAGAATGTCTCTGAGCGAAGGCCATCTCCATCCCCAAGATGACAAAAGCCACTAAAACAAAGACTGTGCCTGTCCTCATGTTGGCCTTTGATGGGAATGCACACACTGAGCCCAGCCCCAATTTATACCCTCAGTGACACCAGAGAGGAGTGTGGGGTGGGGCAGTAGAGCAGGAAATGTACGACATGATCTGGCTACTTTGTTCTATTTCATAACTGGGTTTCTCTGTAATTAGGGTATGTTTTCTTATAGATGCAAATCCAAACAGGAGGATTCATTGCTACATCACAACTTGGCACTGTTTCTCTGGTGTCATTAGAAAAAGTGGCCAAAGAAAATAATTTCCTGTGTATAACTTGAATTTCAGAGTAAGAGCTTAAAACTATGAAGCTACGTGTTATTCCACCTGGTGCCTCCTGGAGGTCTCGTTCCAGGAGGATTCAATGTGCTTCTGGGAGAGATGGTGAACGGGTTGTGCCTTGCTGCCATCCAGTGGTGAGATCCCAAGTGGGGGTGGAAGAAGACTACCCCTTAATCACAAAGGTAGGTAGTAAGGTTGCTCACCTGTTACGGCCAAAGGTGATCCTGAGTGGGGGCGGGGGGGGGGGAGGTGAAAGGCTTGAGAAAAGACAAAGAAGAGAATAAAAGCTGGGTCTCGGTGGGACGCTGGTCCCTTTGAGGAGACAGCGCCAGCGCCCACAAGCTGTGTCTTTATTTTATAGCAGATGCCACGAGGCAAAGTAGGGGTGTGATTACGTTGTTGACAGCATTCTCGTGAGTTCCAGCCTCACTCAACTACATGCACCTGAACTCTATCACAAGGCATGTGGGGCCACGTGTTCGGACCATAGGTTCAAGCTTACAACCATAGCTGTTGGCTATAATTGTGCTGGGAGGGCCCTGCCCTCCAGCTGGGACTTGCCCGTGGCAATGAGAGGACCCTGTCCTTTCATTAGTCTGAGGCTTGAACCTGGCCATAACACTGTAGCCTCGTCCCACATATCCCACTTTATTTTTGTTTTTAAACACGCCTATTTACACTATCCAAAAAACCCTAAACAAATTATTCAACATCATCAAAACATACTTCTGGTTATTAACAAAACTACAGACACAGCAATGTTAAGAGCGAACAAAACTCTGGCTAATAACAAAGCAATACCAATGCAAAACCAAACTACAAACATATCAACATTTTCAGGACATTCCACCCAGAGCCGTTAGATTTAGCTCTGCAAGATTTTACAGAAAACTGACAGTTCACCAACGCTAGCATAGCTTCCACTTGCTTTTCTAACATCTGCTTGGCCTCAGTTGCCATCTTCTTCAGCTGACTCCATGTTGATACCTTGGCCACTAGTGTAGTAAGATGCAAAGATGTCGTAGATGCAAAACTAGTGCCCTGCATCAGGCTGTTTGGACAGTTGACCTCAGCACTGAGTCCGCACCAGTCCCAGTCAAATCAATCCTGTCCACGCCGGTGGAAGTCTGGTCCCTTCTCAGCTCTTTTGTTTATCCGCAGCTGCATGGAAATGAGCAGCCCTCAGTCCTGCAGAGCAGGAGACTTCCAATTCTGAGTCTGGGGTCTCACACAGACCCAAAGTCCCAGGGAGCTATCAGGTCACACAAGCAAAGATAACCAAAGCCTAGAAACAATGCAACTGCTGCAAGAGCTTACAATCTATGTCTAAAACAAAAATTACTTCCTTAAACATCAACCACCACAGCCATCTTCTGCTTTACAGTAGCTTAAACAAAAACCTAGGAGATTTCTACCTTATTTTGTACCTCTTAATTACTTATTTTCTACCACTTATTTCTACTTATTTCTCTATTCCTACGGCTTATTTCTACCATTTATTTCCACTTATTTTTCCATTTCTACAGCTTATTTCTTCCACTTATTTCTACTTATTTCTCTATTTCTACAGCTTATTTCTACCACTTATTTTTTACAGCTTATTTCTTACTGCTTATTTTTTATTTATTTCTCTACCTCTAACTATGAACTATAGGTTGGCTTGGCTGCCCTTGCCCAAACCTTTCCTGGGTTGCAACTCCCGCTTACAGAACCATAGGTAGGTCTGGCTGCCCTTGCCCAAACCTTTCCTGGGTTGCAACCCCTGCTTATTTCTACATTTCTACAACTTATTTCCACTTATTTTCTACCGTTTATTTCTACAGCTTATGTCTACCTTAC